AAACTAAATCAGGTACCCATTACTATGATCAACATACAGTGAAAACATTGTGTTCTGAAAGTGAACATTCCCCCATAGCTCAAGTATTTCAACACTAGTCCCCAGCCAGTGCACTGATTTCAAAAGTTGTGGAAATTTTAATTTTTTAAAATATATTTTATTTATTGTGAATATGTGTAAGTGTGTGGTGGGGGAGCTAGCAGTTGTGTTTGTATGTGTGTGTGTGTGTGTGTGTGTGTGTGAGAGAGAGAGAGAGAGAGAGAGAGAGAGTATATAAAGGGGGATGTATGGAAGCCAGAGGACAACTCTCAGGGGTCAGTTATCTCCCTCCATCTTTGACTCCTAGGGATAGAACTCAGATTTTCAAGGTTGGTGGCATGTACCTATACCCACTGAGTCACCTGACCAGGCTGGTTGTAGAGACTTTAGGAGATGCATCTTTGTTGGAGGAAGTGGGTCAGTGGGGACCTTGAGGTTTTATAGCCCAGCTCCACTTTATGCCCATTCGCTGCTTCCTGACTGCAAAACAAAACATGACCAGACACTTCAGGCTCCTGCTACCAGACCTATCACAACATGATGAACTGAATCCTCTGGTACTGTAAGCTAAAGAAATACTTTCTTCTTTAATTTGCTTCTTGTCAGATGATCAGTCACAGCAGTAACAAAGGTAACTCACAGAAAATTGATACTGGGAAATAGGATTGTTGCTGTAATAAGCCTGACAACATGGGTATAAGGTACTTAGTATTAGTTTGCAAGTAGAACGTGGAAGAGTCTTGAACTTTGAGCTAGAGAAGCCCTAGAATAGACCATTTTGGTGTCAGTGTGGAACTGAACCGAAGAGAAATGCTGACATTTCATACCCTGCACATGTGTTTTCAGACAGGAACAAAAACTCATATGGAAGTGGACTAGCAGATAGTTCTCTGATATTCTGACAAAGAATGCAACTACAGTCTGCCTATGCCCTGAGAACTTTGAGGCTGAATTCAGAAGTAATGGACTAATTCATTTGGCAAAGAAAATTTCAAGTCTGGATAACATTTAGACTATTGTATGAAAGTTGACTGCCCTTATACAGATGGGCATTGAGAGAGCAACATGTGGAGAAGAAAAATTCTTTAAAAAATGTGTTCTTTGGTGGTGAAAGGAATGAATTTGAAGTAGAAGACAGCCGGAAAAAGAAGCTGTAATTCTTAAACAGATTAGAACCATTAAACAGAAACTTCGTGGTCTGTCCTAAGGGCAAAATAACAGCTATCAAAGGCTTCATTTTGTGAAAAATGCAAATTTATTTGAAAGGACAGAGCCTAAAATGAAAATGCCACCAAAGTAGTCTCTGTTCAAAAACAGCCTCCAAGGATAGTGTTTCCCCAGGGTGAGAACACAAGTGCAACTGTGGTCCAAGAGGGAGGCTACATCCTGAACTGGCAATAGAAACTGGTAGCCTCATACACATGGTACTGGACATGCAGGTAAGAAGCAAAGCAGAGGTGGTCATGGACTCTTGTAACCCAGTTCTAGAGAACCAGAAAATGTGTGAGTAATGTAGTCCTTGAAGTAAGTCCCTGATAGACCACTGCATAAAACTGTGAAAGTGAACCCTAAGTCCCAGTGGAGACATCAGGTTGCTGTGTATGCAAGGATCATGAGATGTCAGTTAAGGAAAGATGTAGGCATGGGATGACCTGGCATGAGAGAAACTATGTGTGCTACTGGAAGCAGAGTGGAAAGGGCAGGGTTAACTCAGCTCTTTGGACATGAACTGACCCCATTATAAGCCTCAGATGACAGACACAGAGATGTGGGATTTGCTGCTTTCTCTCCTGGGATTGGTCTTACTTTGGCAAATGTTCCTTTACTGTATCCCTGTTTTTCTCACTGGGAATTGAGTTGTTAGCTCTTCCAGTGTGTGTTATCAATCTATAACTTTTTTTTTAAATATGGGCTCTCAGTTGAGAAATTGGAATTTAGAAAAATGTTGGGACTGTAAAGACTGAGGACTTTTGAAATAAAATATGAATACTTTTGCATGAGCCTATGCTGTGTTTTAATAGTGAAATATCCAATAGGTTTGTGTATTTGAACAGCTGGAGGTGTTTTGGAAAGCTCTAAAACCTTTAGGAGGTCAAGCCCTGTTGAAGGAAGTGGGTCACTGAGGGTCAGGCTTGAAGTTTTAACGTCAGACCCCACTCCTGCCCACTCTGTGTGTTAACTACAAAACACAACCCGATTCACATCTCATGATCCTGCTGCTTTGCCTTCCCAGCCATGATGGACCTATATCACCTAACGTTATAAATAAAAAAAAAAAAAACTCTTTCCTTCCTTAAGTTCTGTCATAGCAACAATAAAGTAATTAAAGGATCACATTGCCATTTGTACACAGAATGACTAAATAATTAAATGTCTTACATTTTGCTTATAAGCATTAAAAATAAAAAAAGACACATTTCAGTCACAGGTGTAAAACTACTTCCAAATTGCAACTGGGGCACTGCTGTGAATTTTGCGTCTCTTATTTCATATCATTTACCCTTCTTCCTAAGCTATATCAGCAGTTCAACTCAACTAAAGCTAAAGGACTGATCATAAATGAGGAATTTTGGGAGTTGGGGAGTTGGCTTAGTGGTAAAGAGCACTGACTGCTCTTGCAGGGGACGTGGGTTTGATTCCCAGTACCACTAACAACTTTCTATAACTCCAGTTCCAAGGGATCCTTCTGACTTTTGCAGGCACGGCATGACACAGGTGCACCTAAACACATGCAGGGAGTATACTCATACACATAAAGTAAAAATAATAAGTAAAATATATTTGTTAAATGAGGAGTTACTAGCTCTCCCACAATCTTGCAAAAAAAATGCCCATTTTCATAAAACTTGAAATTACTACAATTAATAATTGTTGAACAAAATTATTACTGTTGAACCCCCAAAGCTGTTAAAACAAGGTTCCCATTGTAAATGAGCAGATGGCCTTGAAAATGAAGGATAGCTCTGTTCACAAGGACTCGCCAAACAAGTGGGCCACAAAACATCAGTGAGAGACTGGTTTCATGATTATCAAGAAAATCTGAACCATTTTCATTACCCATCATAGAAACCTACAAATAATACCATGGTAATACAGTAAAATTTAAAATAGATTTGAAACTCTGCAATTAAATTTTCATTCTGATTAAGATATAGTAGACTGATTACTTAACTTTTATTAACCTATTTGTGTTTAACATATAATACATTAATACTTAATAGTAGTTTATCAGTAAACACTGAAATGAGCCTACTAAGACCTTAAATGGTTTTAAAAGTTTAAAAATGCCAACATTTGAAAAATTAATTATAACGAATTAATTTCTACATGTTCTGCAAATACTATGGGAAAGACAAAATGACAAAGTATAACAAGAAAATGACAAAGTATAACAGTAGATTCCAAATCATCTTAATTTCTATGTATGCATTTGAAAATAAGAAGGAAAAATAAATGGCAGAAAATACTTTTGCAATTGAACTTTACTTTTATTACTTACAATCATATTTTCCAAGGCATGTTTGGCAAGCCAACAATTTAGAAAAACCGGAACAAACAAATTCCTTAAGGTAGGCCAGAATATCTGAAAAACAGGTCAAACTAAACTTTTAACTCATAGCAAGAAATTATATCCAGCATATTAAAAAGAAATATAAAACAGAATAAAAGTTAAAAAACTGATTACTTAAAACCATGCCAAATACTTTAAATTCATTATTAAAGAAATGCAAGAGCAGATATAATCTTTGCTTCACTGTCTTAAGTCTTTCTGAGGGCAATCATTACAGGAGCAGAAGGTAAGTAATACCCTTCAAAAGATGTCATATTTAACCATGCTGATTCTATTATCAAAACTTGTAGTGTGGTTTTTATATTGCCATCCCTCTGGTAAGGAGATAGGAGAGGAGAGATGTCAGTCTTCTATAACATTATCACAGCTTTCAGAATCAACCACTTTAAGTGATGCTGAGAAACTGTATTCAGTTGTACTTATATTTAACTTGTTTGTCATTTAATCTAGTTCCAGCTCTTTCCATAGATAAGTCATTTAAATTACAATAGGTCTAAGAAGGGAGCAACAGCTTTAGACAGTATCTAGTTATTTTCTATTTTTTCCAATAAAATCCTAATGAGTATTACAAAGTTTAATTCTATTAACCATTATGATATCAAATTGAGATCAGAACCTAATTTTACAAATGGAGACTATTGGGTTACATATTATGGAACTAGAATTGAACAGGGTCACTATGAAACAGGAATGTTACGGCACTAGTGATTCAGCACATGGAGGAAGAACCAAATGCTGGTTGTCTGGTTCTCACTACCATTCCTACTAAAGAAAGAACTGGACATGATAAATGTTATAGAAAAACTAGAGATAAATGTGCTTTCAGAATGGTAGTTTTTATAAATATGTCACACAAATTAGTTTCAGATTTTAAAATTCCCAAATGTAAACAACAAATAACATAATTTTGAGTCTCTCTAGACAGTTTTGACATTTGTTCAAATGATACCTCTATGGTATATAATTCTTGAAATTATTTCACACACTGACTTAATTCTTGTTGAGTACCCAGATTTTATTCCAAGTCATAAACCATTTCTCTTAGCTATTATATTATGTAAAGATATATAGGTTTAGAAAAAATTTTTTAAAATCTAATGACAAAGGTTTTTGAGTAGTTAAGACTTACTGAGATAATGAAAGGAACTGCATTAATTATCTCCAAGATGAACGGTATTCGTAAAATTTGTTCCCAGATGTTTCCCTACAAATAAATATTGAATAAAAGTGAAAGTATGTGACTCAGAATTCTCTAGTAATACCAATGCTTTTATCACCAGATTATTGAATCTGTGTATGGAGACGCAAAAATGACTTAAAAATTATTTTATAAATGCAACTGTATTTGTTCAATTTCATAGTAAATGTTAGATCTAAAATAAATATTAAAAGTTGCCTGGACATTGTGCATATACTATTTGAATCTTATAATATGTCATAGAAAAAGTTATTAACAAGTAGAACAATACATTAACCCAGGCCCACTCAACCAAGAAAACAGGACTCAATTTGGTTTTACCATAATGATTATATTAGCTCAGTGTTACAGCCGCTTAAGTAGTTTGTAAACTGAGCTTCCTTATTAACAATCATTAATATCATTTAAAACACTTTAATCAAACTTAGCTGGGCATGGTGGAGAGACATCTAATCCCAGCACTCAGAAATCAGGGGCAGGTGCATCTCTGTGAAATCAAGGCCAGCCTGGTCTACACAGCAACTCTCAGGCCTTCAGGATGAGGAAGGGAAAGCCCATCTCAAAAACAACAAACAAACAAAAAATTAATCAAACTTAGAAAAGAGCTTTAATCTTGTGTATTCTAATCTCTCAACCCATATAATACAGTTTATTAAGAATGAGTATATAATTTTCATGCTCCAGTGAACAATGAATGCATGAGGCCTCAAAAATTTCAAGAGTGAGTCATGGAAATAGTAAATGAGTCAGAGCACTTTCTGCTGTGGAAACCTATGCCATTATACAGATCATATGCCAGTGAAGTTGACCTTGATTTCCATGGCCTGGATATAGTTAGAATGCGCCTGTCATTTACTGGAAGCCGAGTCCTCTGTGGGGAACTGTAAGGAGTAAGCATGAGCGGCAGATAATTGGGTCAGGTGTATCACCTTAGAAGAAGATCAGTATAGTTAGTTTCAGTAGGTGCATTAAAAGCACAGTTCTAGCCAAGGAACACACGTATCTGGCATCCTGTCTCATCATATGCTATCTTCTAGACACACTTGCTTCCTGTAATGTGAGCCACCGTAAGGACCTAAAGAAGTAAAAAATTTTGCCATCTAATTGAAGTATTTCAGACTCCATAGCCATGAGACACCTAGCCTCACAGACTGGTCCCATATCCAATAGTAAAGACTCTGAATTTCCTAAAACAATTTATCGCATCAAGAGACCTATATAGTAGAAAAGCAACTGGACAACTGCCTTTCTTATAATTTTCAAATATCATATAACACTGGATCAAAGGTATGGGGAGCCCTTAAAACCCATTAAGGAGCCAGTGGCCTAAAACATTATAGTAGCATAAGCATGCCATAACCCCAAAGCATTTTTCGAGACCGTCCCACGTCCTACGTGCTAAGCTATTAACAGGTTTTGTGGCATTAGCTCATCACCCTCCTTCAATGTGAGGAGAGCAGGTGGAGGACTGGGGCACAGAGAGATCTTTTCCATGCAGAAATGTTACTTCAAGCTAAGTGAAAAGGACTCAAAAGAGTCACTTAGCTTCATGCAGACTTGAGACTATATTTGGCTCATGCCTGATACAAAGGAAAGATGAGGAAAGCAAAGCCATGAGAGCTAGGATAAGAACAAATCACAATTCCTGCAATTGTGAGACACTATTTTAATGGAATCAAATAGAGACACTAAAGAACGGAAACTGAACCCCTTTACTATGTTCTGTGTTTAAGAACACTGAGGCCTGAACTTGACAGCGGACTGGAGCAGAGGGTAGACCACACAACCTCAAGGTCTGTGTCAGAGCCTTAGAAGACCTGAGGCATTGTATGGAGTTTCAACCGAAGACCTCAGCAGGGCCAGAGAAGCCCTCTGTCTTTGTTCTTCACCAATGTGACAAAATACTCTGACCACTACCAACTTGGGGAGGAAAGGGTTTATTTGGCTTACATCTCCCAGGTCACAGTTCATCTGGGAGCCCAAGGTAGGAACTCAGGGCAGGAACCTGGAGGCAGGAGCTGGAGCACAGGCCATGGAGGAATGCTGCTTACTGACTTGCTCCCCTGGCCCCTGCTCAGCCAGCTTTCTTATCCAACACAGGCCCACCTGCCCAGGGGTGGCACTACCCACAGTGGCCTGGGCCCTCCCACATCACTCAACAAGAAGATGCCCCTGAGACATGGCCACAGGCCAGTCCAATAGAGGCAATTCTCCAAGTGAGTCTCCCTCAACCCTGATGGGTGAAGTTGACACTAAAGCTATCCAGCACACCCTCAGAGAGAAGGAAGCAGAGTCTGTTTCCACCATTCAGAATGATACAGCAGCAAATGGCCATTCAGATGGTGAGTGCCCTCCACTCCGTTTTTCCTCTGTCCCGGCAGTCACAAATCAGCAGGCATCAAACAGACAGTGGACACGGAAGTAGGAAACAAAACCATGAAGATCCCCTGCCCTATGTGGGTCTGAACTGAGGACAAGCCACACTCCGTTTGTAAGAGGATTAATGTTTTTGCTTAAATTGATCAGTCCATCTGACTACATGGACCAGCAGGAGAACGTATGGATTTGGAAGTACAGGAGGACCAGACTTTCTCTATTTATACATAGACTTCTCCAATAAGCCAGTTTTAAGTGATTTTAGTGATGTCAAGTTGTTTGTTTTTTTGGGGGAAAGGGGTGAGTCATATTGTTGTGCTTCAGTAGGTTTTTATATGGCAGACTTTCCATTGACTTCTTGTTATGATTTTCCTTATCAATGAACAAATTTCATTGGTGACAATCACCACAATAAAACTGATTGACTTATGTTAAAAAATCAAGAGTATGGAAATATTACTATGGGTCATAAAGAAGGATAATTCTCTCAACACATAAAAATTAGTATTAGCCTCCTTAGCAACTGTGACACACTGGACAAATTTAATTAATGTTATTGTTTTCTGACATTCAATTCATTTCCAGTTTAACACATGATTTTTCATTTCTTTAAATTTTTACTTGAACCATTAAAAATGCCTTAAACTAGCACCTGACTGGGCTGGTTTCATTTCTGATTTATCTTCTGTGTTATGACACAGGAGTCTTTCTAAAATTCCAAGTTCCCATTGTCAAGACAATGCAACCCAAGCCCATAGCTATATTGTATGAAGCTTCACATTTTTAACTTGGGATATTTGTTTGGCTTATGGTTAAAATGCTCCTATTCCCATTCTAAAATCACCCACAGATTCATCCATATTAATTTTCACACCGTTCCCTGGACCTGGCAAGCTTTTTATACTTCTGTAACTTTGCTCACATTTCTCCCTCTGGATGAAGGAGAAATTATTTACTCCCACACAAGAGTACTATGTATGAAATTTATTTAGGTACTTACTGCGGATAAATTAACTATTCAAATAAATAAATGAATTTTCAGACATTCTATATACCCTTCTTCCCTTGTTTAATACAATAATTTGTTTATTAACTTATGTTTTCTTAATAGTCTCAACTGAAAATCTTTGATAAAATTTCATTATTGAAATTATCCCTGAATCTACATTCATACATATAAATCACTGAAGCTATAAACATATTTCAACAACAATTTTCTAAAGGAAAGGATTTCAAGAGTTCTTACCCATTTAAGAATCTTAGAATTTTCATCTATGTTTTATCTACAACTTAAAATCAGCAATATCCTTTGACTTCTAATACTGTATTTCCAGGCCAGATCAATATCTTGTCTCTGAGATTCTGACTCAGGTCAACTGTCTAATCCACTATTTCATGCTGACGTCTTAAATCAGCATAAATGAAATGGGTCTGACAGCAAAATTTATGTTTTATTCCCTGACCGAGCTTTCTCAGTAACACAAATCAAATATGCTTTGGAATCTCTTTGTAGCTTCCTTTCACTATTACATGGGTGCAATGTATGAACAAGGTTGGAAATTTGCACGTACGGCATGAGATATTTCTAGCTTACATTTTGTTTCAATTTTCACTTTCTAGTCTAGTCAAGCCTACAAATTAGTATCTGCTCCTTCATTCTTGTCCCACTGAAATTTACCACTGCACTGTACCAATATTACCCTACCGAATGTACATTATCAATGTACCAACCAAGTATACCTTCGCCAGGTCCAGTCCCCACTCAGTTTGAAACTCTTGAACCATTCACACATTTTAACAGCAAAAAAGAAAGTCCTTGCACAATGTACATTGCATTAACTCATTTGGTATTTCTTGAGCTCTCCATTTTTTTAAATTTTTAATGTATTTAGAATAGATTTTTAAATTTGTATTTTTTGAGAATTTCATACATGAGTATGGTATTTACATCATTTCCACTCCTCCTTCTGCCCCCCAACTCCTCCCACATCCTCCCACACTCCCTCTCAGTTTCTTGTACACACACACACACACACACACACACACACAGAGAGAGATAGTGGTGCTACATTTACTAGTGCTCTTGTGTACATGTGTTTAGTGCTGACCACTTCAGATTAGATAACCTGTCAGGGAGCTCGTTCCTGAAGAAAACGTTCCCTCCTTCAGCATCCATAGACTACCTGCAGATCTTCATCTGGAAGTAGAACCCTGTGAAATTTCCCTCATCCACATTGGCATGTCAACTGGTGGTATTATACAGATCTTGTTTAGACAACTATACTATGATGATTGTGTGGGTGATGCTTCCCTATAATCTTCAGAAGATGCTATCTAACAGCAGGTGTTCTTGTCCTCTGGCTCTTACCATCTTTCCATCCCCCTCTTCAGCAATGTTCCCTGAGCCCTAGGTGTATGGGTTACAGTGTAAATATATCAATGAGGGCTATATCACAGAGTCCATTATTCTCTGCATTTTGATCAGTTGCAGAACTTTATAATAATTTCCATCTGTTGAAAAAAAAAAGCTTCTCTGGTGAATAGTGAGAACTAGACTTAACTGTGATTTTAATAGTATTTAGAATAAATTCTAAATGAAAAATTGCAATTACATTGGTTGAGAAAAGTGG